TATATATATATAATTAATAGTATTAACAATATTCTGCCTCTGGGTTTGTCTTTTATGTGTATAGGAATTTGAAGAATTACATTCCAAAAAAAAAAAAAAAATGAAATATTTGCAATGCTGAACTTATCTGTTAACCGCAATTAATTGTAAAGAATTTTTTTCCAAATGTTCCAAGTTTTCTTATATGTTTGACATGATGTATTATAATAAAATTCCTTTACGCAGTTGATAAAGAAAAAGGTGGATTACCATAAAAATCCATATATATTTTTGGGACTATATATATATTTTTTTTTGATTTGTCATTATATACATAACTAAATTTAAAAAACATATTAACATGTCCAATATAATACATATTTTAAATATAAAAAAAAACCCTATATATTTTATTTGCCTTTGAATGTATAAAGTATATTTAAGTGTAATACAACACCAAAAAAATATTAATTATATTCTAAAAATTATTAAATTTAAAAAAAATAAAAAGAAGAAAAAAATTTTGAATCTTCTCATTGCTTGGCATAATTGGAAACACACATTTTCAATCAATAAGAAAGGAAAAGAAAATTTCAAGTCCTCATACTTAAGGTTCTACTTGGCGGATTTTTTTTTATTTTAAACAAAAAAATATTAATTGATTAAAACTCAAAACTTACTTTTCTTATGCTTTTCGAGCTACTTTCCAGAGACTCGCGACCCGTGTCCCATCTTCGTAATAAAGAGAAGCGACCCGTTTCTCGAATTTCATTGAGCCTGTGATTGTTGTCAATAATCTAAATTAGCTTCTATTACAAAACACACAAAAAAAGGAAAACCTTCCAATTCCTCTCTTTTTTTTTTTTTTTTTTTATTGCATTTTTTTTGATCCGTTTAAGTTCCTTACAGCCTATAAGAAAACGACTTGCCCATAAAAAAAGAAAGAACAACATGTCCATAGTTTGGAAACGGAGCATTGAGTACATTGTGTGCCTCTCATTAGCCGCCACATAACAGATGGCACTTGGCCGTCCGCTACCATCTACTGCGCCAGAAGCCATTAATTCTCTTACAAAGATCCCAATATCAAACAAAATTTTCCGTTTCCATCTTTCATTGCAGTAAATGTTAGGCCAGAATAACACACCTTTCACAATCAATCAAACAACCCTCGTGCAATGCTCGTAAAAGAAAAAAAATTAACAAGCAACTTCGACAATTGGGTGGCGTTGCTGGTGCTAAGCTTCTGCTGCGGAAACCCACTTAGAAGGTGGAATCCATGCGATGTTGACGACATTGCTCGTCGTCAAGAAAGCTTTTGGTCCACACGTATAAGAAACACCGACCAAGAATTTTTTCCATTTTGTGTGATAGAAGCTTTTTAAGGATATCACTATACAGCATTCTATTTAGGCTGTGCAGCTCTTTCTCTTGGCTTTGGAAATCAAAGAGCATGGTCTGAAGGAAGGTTGGTACGATGGAGGCAGCATATTTGTTTGCCCGTCTTGTCTTGTTATTGGCTGTCTCTGCAGTAAGCAACTACAAGGCAAAATTAACAGTTGAATAAACTTCGCAAAAATGCAGTTAATCAATATTCAGAATTGAATGTCATGAAGAAGTGGGCGCGGCAACAGGTTTTCAATTTTTGAACTTGTTGTTGGAGACGTTTGTTTTGTCTAAAGATTGGAGATCAAGTCCCTGCGGATGGTTTTGTTCATAGATGGGCAATTCCTTGCAAATTGAATGATCCCAGCATGCGGGAGAGTGAAAACCAGTTGAAATTAATCACGACCAAAATCCATCTTAGTCCTCTGGCACCACCCCTGATTGGACCGCGGAGTATTGAAGGTCGCTGATGGCTTATGGAAGCATGCTTATTAACATAGTAGGCAGAATACCAACGTGGGGAGAAATGATGAGCCATATTACGTCAGGGACAACAGAATGAACAGACACCATTGCAGCAAGGCTTAATAAACTCACCTCATCAATTGGAAAGGTTGTCTGGCTTGTTTGCTTTCCCTTGTTCTTCTAGTCTTGTTGGGTTCGCTAAACTCTTCACTGGGAATAACACAAGATGAGAATGGAAAACAGGGAGTTTTCAATGGCAGCAGGACAAAGGCTGATCTGATATTGGTGAATGCTGTAGTGGGAATCGTAGCAGCTGCAGTCACAATCGTCGGTAGTTGCAATCCAGAAGGTCTGCCATTGGCTGGTAACATTACTCTAGGCCTACCTCTTTAAAAGAATGAATGGCTGATCAAGCAATGGTGAGAAAGCTCCCGCCATGTTTGAGACTCATGGGCTGCCTGCTCCACAATCTGTACTTGACAAAACAGGCACTGCTTACAAATGAACCTCATGAATGGTAATCAAAGTTTTTCTTGAAAAGACCAACGGAACGAGCAACACTCTTCAATTTCCCCGTATGGTTTATTGAAACCTGGTCAAACAAGGAGTTGCCCTCCCAATACAACTGGAAGGGCCTACAAAAGAGCAAATAACAGAATCCGAGTTCGAGTTCTCAGGTAGTCCTACAGAAAAAGCAATTCTTTCTTGGCCACAGTATGGTTTTAAAAAATTGGATATGGATAAAGAACAGAAGCACAGTTTCGTCGTCCTCTTCATGTTGAAGGAGCGCGAGAGCTCGCAATAAAAAAAGAGTGGGGTTTTGGTGAGGAAGAAGCTGGACAATAAATTCATGTTCACTGGAAGGGAGCCTGCAGAGATGGAATCTTAGCAATGTGCTCAAGTTTACTATGATGCCCTTCCCTGGAATGAAAGATTTGGATGATTCACCCAAAAGAAAATGTCTTCAAGCAAATTATTCAAGGTTGGCCGCTGATAGCCTTCGCTGCATTGCAATTGCACATACACATATATCGAGAAGCGGCATCAGGATGAAAAGAAGAGAAGAAGCTCCAAAGAAACTGGCTTGACCCTATGTAGGAACTTGTGGGTATCAAGGACCAATTGTCGCGCAGGGGTTAAAGAAAGCCGTTGATGATTGTTCAACAATGCTGGAGTGAACATCAAAATGATCCACAGGTGACAATGTCTTTCAACTGCAAGATGCTATAGCTATGATGTGGGAATAACTAAAGCCTGGTCAGAGACATGTTCATGGAGCTGTGATTTGAAGGAGAAGAGTTTCCGCACTAACACACTAACCTGAGGAAAGAAGGAGAAAAGTTGAATTAAAATAATGGTGTGATGCAAAGGTCTTCCCCCTTTGACAAACTTCTTCATGGGCAGTGCCTCAAACAAAAAGGCCATGTAGTGGCAGTCTGGTGATGGAACTAATGATGCACCAGCACTGAAAGAGAGCAGATATGTGGACTTTCTACTGGACGATTCGGGAAACTGAAGATTGCAAGGAAAGCTCAAGATATTGTATTTTGGAATGATAATTTTGCCTCTATGGCTACAGTTTTTGAATGATGGGGAAGATTGTCTACAAACAATATACAGAAAATTTATATAGTTTCCAGCTCACCTGCAATGTTTGAATGCACTCGTGATATTTTGTGTCCACAGTTTTCTGCAGGTGAAGTCCATTGACAGCAGTTTCCAGCTTCTGTGGGTGAATTTGATAATGGACTACACTAGGTGCTCGTGCTCTAGCTACAGAACAACCCACCAAAGAGCTCAATGGATAAACCACCTGTTGGTAGAATTGAGCCGCATTAATCGACCAACATTATGTGGAAGGAAACCTATTAGCTCAAGCTTTGTATCAGATAACTGTCCCTCTTGACACTACAATTCAGGGGGAAGAAGGCAATCTTTGGTGGTGACTGAAGAAGGTAAATGAACCTTGATCTTCAACATTTTTTCCTCTGTCAGGGTGTTTTAATGAATTTAAATGCAAGGGAAGCTCGAGAAAGAAGAAATTGTCTTCAAGGGAATACATAAGAACAAGCTATTTCTTAGGGAATCATTGGGCAATAACCATTGTCCTTCAGTACTCGATGGTGGAGGTTTCTGAGGAAATTTGCAGATACAATGAGAGGTTGAACTGGGGTCAATGGGGGTCTATGCATCTGGAAGGTGGCAGCTGCTTTCTTGGCCAATCTGGTTGGGCTGTCAAGCACATACCTGTTCCTGAAGCCAATTTTCAAGCTATTTCAATTGAATTGAATCGCATGTCTACACAGCTTCCACGAGAATTTGTTTAACTGTACCATTAACCCGTGGCAAAACCCCTCAGATATTGATCCAACGAGTCTTCCAAGCTAAACAGAGGAGAAAAATTTTTGATGCAACTACAAGCTTTGGAGGGGTTAATGTATTGCTGTAGGCATGAAAAGTGATGTGAAGAAGGGAATCAAAGGTGTTTATGATGAAATTGTGCATCGACCGACGAAGGAATTTATGGTACATAATCAAGTAATTGAAACGCCACCTGCAAAGAGCCTTAATTCACTTTGTGTAAAGGCCATCAAAGATCCCATGATCATACTCCGTGGTTGTGCTGTGGGTGGTCCATTTCTCTTGGGTTTGGCATTGCAACCAACGGCCTTTCAAAAGGATGGATTGAATGGAGGCAGCAAATTTTTCTGGCCCTTTCTTTAGTCAATAATTGGCACTTCTGTCAGTAACTTCTGGCCAACAGAACAAATCAAGCAAATTATGTCAAATCATAAGTGCAAGGTATTGAGGTGGGTTCATCAAAAGGATGGCGATGGAGGCCACAGATCCCAGCTGATCAGATGTTGTGTGATGTTGTTCTGCCTAAGACGTGGGGAAAAAAATTCCTGCTGATGGGTTATCCTTACAAGGCCATCCATTATCAGTTGAATCAAGCCTAACGGAGGAACTCTGACCTTTGAAGAGGTTACTCATAGAAGCCATTTCTGCATTCAGGCTCTATGGTAGTTGATGGTTATGCTTCCAAATGCTTTGTCACAAGTCAGTTGGGATGAACACAGCATGGGGTCGGATGATCGAACAAAATGCAAAACTTTACAGGAAACAACACCCGTGCAAGCCAAGCTTCGCAGAATAACCTCAATTAACCAGTAAAGTTTTGGACTGGTAGTGCGGGCGGATTTCGTTTTTGTGTTTTGGTCAGTTCAGTACTTTATGGGGAAAAAACCAAATGGATATGTTCGAGGGGAGACAAAATTCTGTGATGTCTGTCTGTGAGATGGTGAGGACCTACGCTGCTGGTAGTTGCTATTATGCAGCAAGGAGAAGTTGCAGAGGGCTTACCAGCTTGGCTGTTGTAATCACTCTTGCTTATTCCATGAAGGAGATGAAACAAGAGAAATAAGGCTATCGTGAGAAAAACATTCCAGTTCCGTTGAGGCAAAGTTGCCTCAACCCAACCATCTGGCCAATATTGAATCGGATGACAGTAACTAAGTTTTGGTTAGGGCAAGGATTATATCGAACAACTGCCTTCTCACGGGTTCCCTCAAACATGATTGATCTCCACCAAGCCGTTGGTCTCACTGCACACAAACTCAACCCCCTTCAGAGGTTTCCTCATTCATTGATTGCCAGTTGAAAAAGGCAAATCAATTTATTGGGCCATACAGAGATGGGCATGAATACTAGGAACTGCAAGAAAGCGCCTGCAAGCATTCTATAAACGATTAAAGCGTTTGATTCAGTGAATGACACGCAGTGGTTTTTGATGAAAGAAGAAAAATGATAATACAATTCATGTTCCATTGGAAAGGAACAACCGGAGGCTATATACTAAGTCATGTGGTTTCAAAAATATGTATGACACCACAGGATTTGTCCAAAGCCATTGATTATGACACAAGGGAGAAACTGAATCAAAAATAGCTCAAAAGAATGGCAACTGATGGATTTCAATGCATTCTTTCGCAACATGAGAAAAACTTCCCAGAGATGTTTATCCCAAGATGGAATATCCCACCAAGTTACTAGAAGATGACTGCTTGACATTTTTAGGGTTTTTGTTGTGTAAAGGATGTTTTGTCGACCTAGGGTTAGAAAAGCCTGTAGAAGATTTTCAATATGCCTGATGTGAAACATAAAAATGGTCACAAGAGAAGGATGCTTTAATTGCAAAAAAGCTATAGCAACTGAATGCGGCATACTCAACCCTGACCAGAAAGACAGAGAGTGAAGTAGTAAGGTGTGTAGAATTTTCAGAATTATACCCATAGAGGAAAGAATGGAAAAGGTTGAAAAAAATTCGAGTTTATGGCAAGTGCCTTCTCCTGTGGACATTCTTCTAATGTAAGATGGTTTCTAAACAAAAAGGTCATGTAGTGGCTGTTATCTGGTAATTACACGGTGGAGCGACCAGCTCTGAGGGGAAGCTGAATATAGGGATCTCTGTGGGGCTTCAGTCCCACTGAATGCAGCCAAAAGAGGAGCTCAGACCATAGTCATAAATTGGATGAATGATTTTTGTTTTGGTTGTCGAACATATGTTTTATAAATGGGGAGAACCATGTTGACCACATCCAATATATGCTCAGTTTTCCATCTCACGCGAGCATTACTTCAGTGGTGATAGGACTTTGTGACAAGCAATTTCAGCTCGGGAACCTCTTACATCCAAAAACTGCAGCAGCCACTCAATCAGGAGAAATCACATTTTTGCAGACTACAAGATTTTGTGGTGAAGCTGATCATTGTACATTGGCTGCTCTGGCTCTCACCATAAGGCAACCCTCGAAGAAGCTTATGAAGCGTCCCAGTGAATCGAAGCCTCTCTTATAACCAACATTATGTGGAGAAATATATGCAGCCGCAGTCCATCTATCACATAAGCTATCCTGCTGAACCAATACAGTTCAAAGGCAAAGAAATCTTCAGTGTGAATGACAAGGTAAAGGACACCAGATGTTTCAATACATTTGTTCTTGCCAAATTTTTACTAAATTCAATGCAAGAGAAGCTCAAAAGAAGGCAGAAAACATCTTTATGGAGATACACCAGGAACAAATTGGGTTTTTTTGGGCATCATAGGGGCAGATTGTCATTGTTTCAATGTAGTGATGGTAGAATTTCTGAAGAAAATTCGCAGGGTTTCAGAGAGGCTGGATTGGGGGCAATGGGGGTGTCCAGCATTGCAATTGCAGCATGTCGTGGCCAGTGCCTATGTATGTAAAGTGGATACCTGTCCGAAGAAACCTTTTGAAACTATCTAAAGTGGAAAAAACTAGGGTTGAGAAGCTTCTTTTAGATTTTCTGAAAAAATTCCTTTAGAGAAGCTCAGAACCCTCTTTTTTTTTTTTTCCTTTCTACTGTTTTTCATCTCAGAATTGCAACGAGAGTTGTTAAAGTAAGCTTTTATTGGAGATAGAGTTAACAGATATTGATGAAAGTTTGGTTTAGGTTTGTTATGGATAAGATAATTTCTGTTGTAACTTATTTTTTGTAAACCAATATACTATTTTAGTATAAGGACTCTTTCTTGTATTTAAACAGATACTAATGAAATACCGATCATCTCTTTCTTTTCTATAGTCTTCTGTTATATGGGTATCAGAGCACAAACCAAAGCCTTAAAAAGGCTTTTTCCGATCCAATCTCTGATTGTTTCCTTTCAAAATCTTCTTTTCCTCTTACTTTGATATGGCTTCAGGTAGCGGCACTGTTGTTCATTCTTCTAGGCGTTCTCTTGTAAGAACAATTAATGGTGCCACAGCTGCCTCTAAAACTCACTACTACGAATTATCCAACTTGGAGGCTCAAATTGTAACCACTGTTTAAAGGACATAGCTTGATGAATATTATCCTAGGTACGGTACCTGTACTTTCTGCTACTGTTTGCTGATAAGGGAGGTGGTACAGATTTTCAATGCAGATTAATGAGTTTTGGGAGTTGTCAAGATCAATTGATTCTTGCTGCGTTATTTCCGAGCCTCCCTTTCTTTTTCGATCATGGAATGATATTGGCAGATTCTGTTACGTCTGCTGATGGCATGGAAAAGCACAAATGTCCTATCCAATACGTCTACCACCATCCAGAGTTTTATCTCTGCGAGAGAAAACTTGCTAAGAACAAAGAGAGAATGCTCGTTCTGTTTCTTGAAATAATTTAACAACGATTAAAGAGTATTGCAGATGAGCTTCCGTTGTGCGGGAGTCCCAATGAATGATTAGATCTTGTTGTTTCAGGTTCTTGTGGTGGTCGGATCTGAATTCTGTTGCAAATCGCAGCGGCAAAATCATGCCAGAGACACATCGTTAGTTTGAAAGAACTACAAGATGAAGTTATTTAGTATGAGATGTATTTGAAGCAGGTTAATTCAAATTATGATGTTTTCTTTCTTGTTAACTGCTAAATATATTCGCAAGACTGCTGCTGGAAAGGGGATCTAATTTCACGGGCAATTTTTTATCGTCAGTCTGGTGGAAATTCCTCTGGTGAAACGTGTTTTAAGTGTTAGACCAGTCTCAAGTTCTCTAGATGCCCATTCTACTGTTCAATGTCAAGTTTTGGCGAATCGGTTTGGGATGTTGTTAAAGACTGTTTTAAAAGCCAAACAATAACTTTGCAAATATTGCTAGAAAAGCTCAAGCTAATGCTTACAAAGTGTTGCAAGTCCCAGAATTTCCAGACATGGTTGCGTTGATTCTGCAGCATCGCATCATGTCACTAAATGACTTGAAATAACTTATCTCTTCATTCGGCGAATGGACCAGATGAGCTACAGTTAACTGATGGGTCAGGTTTTTGTCCATAACTTCGAACCTGGTTCTGGTATTGTGTCCTTACCATCGAAAAAGTGTCTTCTTCAAAATGTCTTATATGTGCTCAAAGCAAAAATCTAAATTCTTATTTCTGTTCCTCCATTTCTTGTATTCTAACCAAGTTTCCATTGAATTTTTCTCATCAATTTTATTGTTTAAAGGATAGTTCAAACGGGGGAGAATCCTGTCAAAAGGCAAACTTGATCAGTCTTTTTAATAAGCTTCGACATTGGGTTCTTTTGAAAGTCATCATGTTCGGTTATCTTCTGTGTTCGTGGCACTCAACGGCTTTGGAACATCCAAGTTCGAAAATTCTTCATTTGTTTTGTCTAAACTTAATATTCCTGTGACCTGTTATTAAGGATAGTGTCTATGATCCTTATCGTTGTAATAAAAGTCAATAGGTTACCTTTTGGAGTATCTCTTTGGTTTAAGTAGCAAACCATTAGAACTTGTTTATACTGATTTAGGGACCTGCACCAGAAATTTCTTATGATGAAATTTCGATATTATAATTATTTTTGTTGATCACTTTCACAAAAAATATAATCTGGTTGTATCCATTAAAAAAACCAAATCTCGGTATATGAAATTTTTCAAATCTTTCAAAAAGCTTGGTAGAAAACAACCTTTAACTCCAAAATTCAAAACTATAAATATTCTGAATGGGGGGGAGATAAATGGTTGCTCTTAAAAAATATTTTCAACAACAATAATGGTGCGGGCTAGAACGTCGCATTGCCATTTATGAAAAAGGGCTTACTTTGTTACAAACAGCCCTCTTTTACAAACAGGGAATCCTCACTTGCAAAACTCCTCCTCACCACTCACATAATGGTGCAGCTGAACGTCGTCATCGCCTTTATAGTTGAACAAGGCTTACTTTTGTTACAAACAGCCCTCTTTAAACCCCATGAAATTTTGGAGTTTTTGGCTTTTCGTACTGTAGCTTACTTAATAATCAGTTTACCTACATATTTTCTTTAAACTAGTCTCTCCCTATGAAAAATTGTTGGTCAAAATCCTAAAATTATAGCCTCTTTACGAGTATTTGGATGTCTTTGTTATCATGTTCAGACCCATAAACATGAAAAAGTCTAAGTTTGATAATCGATCACGTTTCCTTGGTGTATTTTTAGGATAACTCCACCAAACAAAAGTGTTTTATTTTGTTATCATATGAATCTGGGAAAATTTTTTGAGTCTCTGACATGTTGAGTTTGTTTTTGAAAAAATTAAAAGTTTTTTTTTTTTTTTTTCCCTTTTTTAACAAAAATTCGGCCTAGCAGATTTGTCTGAGACCTAGTTGGTATGAATTTTGCTAACTGAACGTTACTTCTATTATTTCCTTTTCTTCTCACCGAATATGTCCTGTGGATGATCTATTTCAAGTTCTAACTGTTCCTGTGTCTTTAAGTCCACCCCGATTGATCTATGCCTCCATGTCTGTAATGAATTAATCTCAAATAATTCCACATAAGCCTAGATCGTGCAAACCACTAGATTCAACAAAATAGATTTTGAATATAGAAAAGGTTGCGTAACCTGAACATCAGTTGTTCGTGCGATCTGAATGTATAGAAATTAGGTTTGCAGCCCTTCCAGAGGAATTGAAGAAATCGATTTTGGCGGAGCAGTACGAAGGACACGTAAAACTGGAATCGTATTCAACTCCTCTGGGGACGCACGACCTTATATACCTGTAGGGTTACGTACATTCCTATTTCGGTCTTTAAACGAAATATGAATTATATAATGGTCTCTACACTTAATATCCTATAATTAAGTTGATACCTCAATAGTCAATTAATTCACATCAAGACCACATTTGAATGACTTCTACAATTGGACTGCTGTAACAATTTTAATTTTACATATTAAGCCACAATAGAAAATTCAATCAACAATGCTTCCACTTGGTGCGAACTATGTTAAATAAAATACATACACCAAAATGAGCTCAACAAACGCAGTCATACGAGGTATCCAAAAACAATCTCGTCCATTAATTATATTGATAAAGAGCTGAAGAAACATTCGCCATAGATCTTATGACTAAGTTCATCATCAACTACCTTACCAATACCCCTAAATGACACAGATTCATTATAGAAGTGTAGGATGAAAACTAAATGTAATGTGATCATCATGTTTGTTTCCAACTGGTCACCAACAAAAGTGAGATCAAGCAAAACAATAATAATACAGAGTGTAACCATCAACCAAAATGAGTACTCAATAAAATTTCATCAACATAATAAAACATATCCAAAACAAAATAGAGCATTCAAAAACATAATAGAGGCATTTCAAAAACATAATGTATGCATAAAGAGCAAACTCCACTTAAAAACTAGACAGTCTCAAACAAAACTGACTACCGTATGAGCGGTGTGGGCTCATGGGAAAACTTTCGGTATCACTGCCTTTGGTAAGCGGATCCGCAATCATAGAGTGTTCCATAATGCCTCTAAGGATATCTGGCCACTCTTGTACCCTCTCCCTTCACAGCAAGGAACTTAATCTCAATTGTTATTGATCAGAAGAGCTCCTGTTGTTGTTGTGAGAGAAGAGCTCCTGTTGTTGTTGGAGAATAAAACGGCTGACCTGCTGTCACAATACAACTTCAGTGGTCTTTCTATTCCACCTACTACACGCAGCCCATTGACAAGGTTTCTCAGCCAAATAGCTTGATTGGATGCCTTATAAGATGCTACAAATTCAGCTTCCATGGTAGAGGTTGCTACTAGAGTTTGTTTCACACTCTTCCAAGAAATAGCACCGCCAGCCAATAGAAAACGTAGCCAGATGTGGATTTTCTACTGTCTTGGCATCCAACGAAATCCAGCGAAATCAGAATCAGTATACCCAATGATCTCAAGCTGATCTGATCTCCTATATGTGAGCATATGTCCCTTAGTCCTCTGAAGATATCTCATGGCTCTTTTGGCTGCTTTCCAATGATCCATTCCTAGATTGCTGAGATATCTACCTAACATGCCAACTATAAAAGAAATGTCTGGACGAGTACAAACTTTAACATACATAAGACTTCCTATAGCTGACGTATAAGGAACCTTTTGCATTTCCTAAATTTCAAGTTCACTCTTTGGACATTGTTGATTACTAAATTTATCACCTTTTGCAATAGGGGTATCCAATGGTCTTTAGGATTTTCTCATTACTAAATCTCTTTGAGCAACTTTTATCACAATATAGCTCTTTTGTGATAACCAAGAATTACCTCGAGAACGGGTCTCGATGTATTCTGAATCCCTAAACAAAGGGAAGCTTCAGCCTAAATCTTTCATCTCAAATATGGCTTTGAAAGAAAAAAACTTACATGGTTCATGCAGTAAGGACTTTAACAATTAGTAGGGCAAGAGTATTGTCAATCCAATATAAGACCAAAAAAGATAAACCTACACCCATCTGGAACTTATGGGTTACATACAATTTTCAACAGCATTTGCCTATTTGCCTCAAAGCCAAACGAGACAATTACTTAG